GGCAGAATGCAAACAAAACAGAAGTTAGTCTTTGCAGTCTTGGAAGAAGATGCTGGTTAGTCAGTCACATAATTTAGAGGGGATTAAATTGATCTAAAAAAAAAAAAAAAAAAAACAGTACAAAAAACAACCATGGTGTTGTTTTTCATAAGGATCTGCCATCTAATCCCATATGAAAGAGGATTCTAAGTATTTTCTTATTTCACACACTACACATGTCCTTGGTGTAGCTATTGAATTTATTTTTTCTAATTTATTTTTTCGTTTCTGCAATTCACAGACCCCCAGAGAGGATCAAGCTCTGCATGGAGCACAATTCAATTCTTCTAGCTGAAGGGCGATGCTTTTTGATTGGCACGAAAATGCAGAATCTGGGAACAGCTTTCTAACTTTAGCCTACCTATAAGTCAAAAAGCGCTAGTCGGCGCCTTGAGAGTAACATTCACTACTTCTAGTCTGCATCTAGAAACCTCAACTCGAACTTGAGGAGAAGCTCCTCTCTGCACGATTGATGGAAAAGATATTTCGGCTATAAAGAGGAAATTATTCGTAACTGCTTTGTTTTCTTTAAACAGCGCATATGTGCAAAAACCCAAAATGCGCAGAAATGCATCTGCAGTGCTTATCATTTGCATCTAGTTAAGAAGGAGTGGCGCAGATTCACAAAACAGAAAAATTACTTTTATACCTGAATCACATCAACTACACTCTCGGGAAGGTGTGCCTTCTGTCAGATCACTCTTTATTGCTTTATGACCAAAAACGGTTTGTATTTTGTGTAAAACAAGTTTACAGTCAGCCGACTCCCTCCTTTTATTGTGTGTGTGAGAGCAAGCTGAAAAATTATTAGACCTCCATCTATTGATCGGGCTCTAAAATCCAATTGATTTGAACGACGCTCAATCAGCGACGTTCAGATTTTTGTCAGTTTTACTGAACATCTGCATTAGTGTCCGCGTCGTACAAAGTGTGTAATTGGTGAGGAAGTAGCGCCACTGTTGCGCGGAGGGAGGGAAGATCTGTGCAGTCTAACAGAAGAAGCTGGAGAGAGAAAAAAAAAAAAAAGTAGGAAACCACCGCAGTCAAAGCCTGGAGTCTCATTCAGCACCTCTAGCTGCTGGACAGAGGCAGAGTTGAGCAAGAGATCAGCTCAAAGATCCAGTCTGGAGAGAGACCTTGCAGGCTAAAGATTCACCTTCCTCATCCCACTTCCCACCTTTTTCATTTGTTGTTCTATCATAATCTGTGCGCTGGGGTTTCACGATCAGCGGGAGAGTCAAGAGCTGCTGACTGACACTGGTTGGCAAAGAGGATCAGAGGAAATCTGGAAGGAAGGAAGCACACACCGCAGAACTTCTTTCTTCTCCACTTTCAGAGGTAAGAGATTTCCCCATTTAAGGATTTTAGGAGAGATATGGCAGTCATGCATCACTGGTTTACGCAGTTGTGTGAGGGCTTCTTGTTTGGGAGAGTGCTCTTATTGACAAGATAACATATTGAGTGAAATGTGTGTGCTGACACGTCCTCTGAGGGTTTTCTTGTGAGTATTCCAATATATTCTAACTTTATAAAGCCTTTCAGAGTGAATATATTTTCAATTGTGTGTGTTGCCTCAGAGATGGCTCCTCTGATCACACTCAACAGATGAATCACCTTTGCTGAGAGCCAGGCTTATGATGGTTGACGTTTCTTGGGGTGGGTGGGTTGGGGGTTTTAAGGGGGTGTTGACTGTACAAGGAACCCCTTCATAAGCTTGAGCCCCCTCTGAGACCCCCCTCCGCTTCTTCCTCCTGCATTTTTCTCCTGCTCCTCAGACATGTGAATCTTAGGAGTCAGTTGATGTAATTCAGTTTCTTTACTTGCTGTGAAATCTGTGTTACTTTTATGCTTTTCCAATAAGTTTATTTTCTTTTTAGTAAATAAGACATAATGTCCCAGTTGGTCATACTGCTTGGTGATGCCTCAATTCACTATATGTTAGAGGCTGTATTCATTTATGTCCACACTCCTGCAGCTCTTAGCTCGTGAAACATGCTGGTTGTTTCAATATGCTACAATTTAAAAGAAAAAAAAAAAACATTTATCGCTGTGTAGTTGTCCAGAGGATTTCATCATGTTTGAGCACACACCTTTCGTTCTAATATACAAATCTATCTAAATGAAATATGATAGAATCTAAAAAAAAGTTATACATGATCTACACCTTTTACTAATGGTGTGATGGTGGTGGTGCAGAAAACGTTTAAAGGAAACCTTTCTATGGGTGGATTTTAAAGTAGTGCTGATTTAAGAGTTTGGGAAAATTAATAAAGCATGGACTGAAGCTGGAAACAGTGCCTCGAGAGCCATAGACAGAAGACTCAGGGTAAACCTGTTACTGTATTGGGTTTGTACAGTCATATTTATTATTTTTGAAAACTTAATTTACTTCAGTATTGCACTTTATTTAATAAGTAAATTCTCTAGATAATTTTCCTTGGTTGGCTGTCAACAGTTGTTAGACAGGACACACGTGGAGTGAAAAGGAGAGATGAGATACAACAAAGGTCCGACATCAGGATTCTAACCCAGGACGGATGCATTATACCGCACACTTCTGCATCACTGCTGCACCCCATGACTTGCTTCAAAAGCTGGTCTGAAAGGGTACATTTAATCTGATCCCATACTCTAATTTATTTAATGTCATTGTTCTATGGAGTACATAGACATACTTTATCAAAAATCCCTTTATTAGTCTAACATAATCTAATTTCTGCCCTGCAATGGACTGGCGACCTGTCCAGGGTGTACCCCATCTCTTGCCCGTAGACAGCTGGGGATAGGAACACGCACCCCTCGCAACCCTGCCAGGGATAAGCCGTTAGATGCATGGATAATTTCTGAGGAACTTGATGTATCTAATTATATGTTACCTGTATTAATCAGCTTAATCAACTCTAACAATATATATATATAT